TTATTGAATTTTATAATGTTTTTGACTTTTGAATTTTTTAGTATTTCAATTCTTTAAATTTTCCGATTTTTCAATTTATAAGTATTTTTAATTTTTCAGCTTTTCGATTTTAAGATTTTTCAATTTTTGTTTTTACAATTCCCACTTTTCGATATTTTTTTTGCAATTTTTTTGATTTTTCGATCAATTTTTCGAGTTTTCAGGTTTCCGATTTTGCGATTTCGTAATTTTTCGTTTTTATTAAAAAATTTGTTCATTCTTATTTTGCAATTTAGCTTGAAATTATTTAATTTTCTGACGATTTTCAAATGATTTTTCGATTTTTCCTTTCTTAAAATTGCTCCATTTTTTAATATCTAGTGTTTTTAATTTTTCGTTTTCTCAATATCCTGATTTTTCAATTTTTCTTTCCATGAATTTTTCTAGTTTTCAATTTTTCGATTTTTATAACTTTTTTCAACTTTAAAATTGTCGTTTCTTTAATTTTTCATATTTTTGGATTTTTAATTTTAATGCTACGATTGCATCGTTTGGAGTTTTCATTTTAAAATTTTTCAGTTCTCCGATTTTCCAAGTTGTGGATATTTCAGTTTTTTGAGTTTGCAATTTTTCGATTTGCAGTCTCGCGAGTTTTCAATATTTAATTTTTCAGTTTTTTTAATTTTACAATTTTCCATTTCTTCAATTTTTGGATTTGCAATATTTTGTTTCGGTTTTCTATTTCCTTTTTATTCAATGTTTCGGTTTTCAATGTTCCGATTTTTTAATTTTTTCCTTTTTTCATTGTCAAATTTTTCAGTTTTTGGATTTTTCAATTTTTCGATTTGCAATTTTTCAGTTTGTAATTTTTCGATTTTTCAACATTTAGATTTTTTTAATTTCTCGTATCTGCAATTTTAGACTTTTCATTTGCCCGACTTTTCAATTTTTCGTTTCTTCAATTTATTGAATTGCAGCTTTTCTAGTTTTCATGTGAAATATGTACCTATCTGATAGAAGTCATAATTAAAATTTTTATTTTTTTCAATTTTAATTTTTCGATTTTAATTTTTCAATGTCTCGATATCCAAATTTTCAATTTTTCGATGTTTCGATGTTATAGTTTTTTAAATTTTAGTATTTTGACGATTCTATAATAAGTACTATTTCAATTTAACAATTTCTAGGTTTTTCAGTTTTTGGGTTGGATTCGGTTTTTCTTCTTTCCAATTTTTCGATTTATTAATTTTTTCGATTTTTAAGTCTGTCAAATTTTAGTTTTTTAATCTTTCGATTTTTCGTTTCTTCAGTTCTTCGATTTTTTAATTTTTCCTTTTTTCATTGTGGATTTTTCAATTTTTCGATTTTTCAATATTTAGATTTTTTTAATTTCTCGTATTTTCAATTTTAGACTTTTCATTTTTCCGACTTTTCAATTTTTCGTTCCTTCAATTTATTGAATTGCAGCTTTTCTAGTTTTCATTTGAAATATGTATCTGATAATTAAAATTTTGATTTTTTTCAATTTTAATTTTTCGGAATTTTTCAGTGTTGCAATTATTATTGGATTTTAAAACTTCTTTATTTATTCAATTTTTCCATTTTTCAATTTCTCGATATTTACTTTTTTAATTGTTCGGTCTTTCTATGTACAATTTTTTGAATTTACAATTCTGATGATTTTTAGATTTTACACAATTTTTCGGTTTATTATTTTTTAATTTTTAAATACATATGTCGATTTATGGTTTTTGAATGTTTTGATTTTTAGTTTCTTCAATTCTTTGATTTGCAATTTTTAGATTTCTCACTTTTCCGATTGTGTCATTTTTTGTGTCCATTTTTTATTTTCTTTATTTCTTCAATTATTCGATTTTTCAATGTTTCGATTTTATATTTTTTGTTTTTTCCATTTTAATTTTTTCAATTTTTCGTTTCTTCAATTTTTCAATTTTTTATTTTGTTTGTTTCTTCAGTTCTTAGATATTGTCACTTTGCATTCTCTTGAGTTTTTAATTTTTAATTTTTAGTTTTTCAATTCTTTAATTTTTCATTTTTACAATTTTGCGATTTTTCAATCTTTGGATTTTTAATTTTTTATTTTACCAGTTTCAGTTTTTTCAATTTATCATTGCTTCAATTTTTCCATTTGGCATTTTCCAATTTTGATATATGCATGAGTTTTCATTTTTAATTTTTCTATTTTTTATGTTTTTATGTTACAGTTTTCGAATTTTACAATTTGACGATTCTTTAATATTTCAATTTTACAATTTTTGGGTTTTTCAAATTTTCAATTCGATTCGGTTTTTCTTCTTTCCAATTATTAAGTCTGTCGTTTTTTAGTTTTTCAATGTTTGGATTTTTGGTTTCTTCAGTTCTTCGATTTTCAATTTTTCGGTTTAAAATATCTTGTTTTTCAACTTTTAATTTTTTCGATTTTTCGATTTTTGAAGTTTTAGTTTTTTGCGTCTTCAATTTTTTGATTTTGCAATTTTTGGTTTTAAAATTTCTCGAGATTTCATACGTAAATTTTTTACTTTTTCTCATTTCTTCAAATTTTCGATTTGTAATCTTTGGTTTGGGTTTTTTATTTTCCTTAATCTTAGAATTTTTCGAGTTTTCAATGTTTCGATTTTATAATTTCTTGTTCTAGCATTTTCAATTTTTGTAAATTTTGCGTTTTTTGTATTTTTATTTTTTGAAATTCTTCATTTTTTTGCTTCTTCAATTCTACGATATGCATTTTCGAGTTTTCGTTTCAAAATTTTGGATGTTTCAATTTTTTGATTTTGCAAATTTTTAGTTTGCAGTTTACCGAGTGTTCAAGATTTAATTTTTCAGTTTTTAGACTTTTCAGTTTTTATTCGGATTTTAGAATTTTTCAATCTATCAATTACTGGATTTTAAAACTTCTTCATTGATTCGATTTTTCCATTTAATTTTCTAATTTTTCGATCTTGAGAATTGAGAAAACAAAAATCTAATTTTTCTTTAAACTTCTCCATTTTTAGTTCTTCAGTGTTTCGATTTTTTGTTTCGATTTGCAATTTTTAGATTTTCCACTTTCCATTTTGCCATTTTTCATTTCGATTTTTTTTTCTTCTTTATTTCTTCAATTATTCGATTTTTCAATTTTTCATTTTGTTTGTTTCCTCTTTGATATTGCCATTTTTCGGTTTAAAATTTCTTGAGTTTTGAATTTTTAATTTTTCAATTTTTCAGTTCTTTAATTCTTTATTTTTTCGAATTTTCAACTTGCAATTTTTGGTTTTGGTTTTTTCTTTTCTATATTTTTACAATTTTTCGATTTTTCAAAGTCTGGATTTTAATTTTTTGTCTCTCCAATTTCAGTTTTTTTAAATTTATCGTTCTTCAATTTTTTGATTTGCCATTTTTCAATTCTTCATTTTTTGTTTGTCCAATTTTGTGATATGCATGAGTTTTTTTTTTTAAATTTTTCTACTTTTCGATTTTCCAAAATTTGGATTTTCGGTTTGTAATTTCAAGAGTTTTCAGTATTTAACTTTTTTAATTTTTAGATTTTTCAATTTTCATTTCTTCATTTTTTCGATTGGCAATTTTCCGGTGTTCAATTTTTCGATTTTTCAATTTTTAGATTTTTTAATTATTCGCATTTTCAATTTTAGATTTTTCGGTTTCTCGATTTTTCAATTTTTTGTTTCTTCAATTTTTGGGCTTCAATTTTTCTCGTTTTCGTTTTAAATATGGGTCGAGTAGCAGTTGGAATTATGATTTTTAAAAATGTTCACGTTTTCAATTGCAGGATTTTAGAATTTTTCGATTCATAATTTTGTTTTATTTTTAACTTGCCCGATTTTTAGTTTTTTTTTCTTCAGTTCTTCGATCTGAAATTTTTCGACATTGCAATTTTTTCTTTTTTCAGTTTTTCTTAGACGATCTTTTGCGTTTTCCTATTTAAAAAATTGAAGAATCGAAAAATTGAAAAGCCAAAAAAATTGAGAAACTCATAAATCAAAAAAGCGCAAAATCGAGAAAACGAAATATTGTAAAATCGAAAAATTGAAAATTTAAAAATCAACTAAAAGTACTAAAGCTAGAGCAAACAAATTCTAAAAATTCATAAATCGCAAAATTATAAATTGAAAAATTCAGGAAAAAATTTGTTCGAGCCACCTGCACGGCGGCTCTCTCACCCGACTGCAGCGAATTTCTTAATCACCCAATGTGAGGGTGCGGCACCCTTTTGTGGGGCCAAGTCTTTATAATTAGGTATAGTTTGTAAAAATAGGAGAGTAAGAATTTGGACTTGAGACTGTTAACATCGTACAAATATACATATTCAAGCGCCACCGTATTTTTATTGTATTTATTACAATTGGTCCTTCGAGTTATCGCAACATATATTTGGTCCGATCGAGTCGGATAGTGAATCAGCGATTGTGTTTTGGGTGAAACAATCCCGTACTTCAACAATTTTGTGTCTTGGGTGAAACAATCCCGTACTTCCAACAATTTTGTGTTTTGGGTGAAACAATCCCGTATTTGCAATTGTGTTTTGGGGCGAAACAAACCCGCAGCAAGAATAACAGTGTTAGTGGCGAATTCAGAATCAACAGCAAGATTTCCACAACGAAACAGGTGGAAAAATCACGAGAAAAATCGTAGATAACAGCAGCACATCAGGTTAGTGGTCATTGCTTCCCTCAAGTCCTACTCCAATTTTTACCGTATACATTTCTTCGTGCGATAGTTTAAACATCAGTAATTCAAATTTTATACGTACTTAATTCGTTTTGTGGTGCTTAAACGATTTAGAAATCGCACATTTCAGTTCAGCAGACTTGCAGTTCATTCCGTTGCTCAGATCGAATTTTTATATCAAAATGCCAACAGTAGAAGAATTAAAGGAAACTCGTAAACAAACGAAATCGGCAGTAACGCGTTTTGAATCATTTCTAGACAAATTTGAGGCAAATAACATCAATTATCTACTGTTGGAAGAACGATTAATAAATTATAAGCCATTATTAAAACAGTTTGAGGAAGTACAATCAAAAATTGAAATTTTACGTCAATCTGACGAAGAAGCAGATGTTCGTGAAGCATTTGAAGATAGGTATTATGAATTATTAGTTAGAGCACGAAAAATTATTGAACTAAAAACAAAACCCGGTGCACGAACTCCGGAGACCGAAGCTCCTAATCAAACCCAAAATTCTAGTAATATCGCCGTACAGTTACCGATAATTAATCTGCCTAAATTCAGCGGCGAATATACAGAGTGGACGACATTTTACGACAGTTTCATTTCTCTTATTCACGAAAATAGTAGTCTTTCTAATATTCAAAAATTCCACTATCTAAAGGGTTGCCTGTTAGGAGATGCAAAACGTACCATAGATTTATTACCAATTTCGGCCGAAAGTTACGAATCCGCATGGAACCTTTTAACTGACCGTTACAAAAATAAAAGACTTATTGTACAAAACCATATTCACGCGATTTTTAATCTACAACCAATGAACAAGTCACCCAGTTCCTTAAGGGAATTATTAGACGGTATAAGTATGCACTTAGCGGCTTTAACAACACAAAATGTGGACGTAACGTCATGGGATGCCTTATTAATATATCTAACAACTACAAAATTTGATTTTTTAACTAAACGCGAATGGGAGTCACGTTTAAAGGCCCACGAATTACCGACGTGGAAACAAATGGTCGAATTTTTAAAACAACGATGTTTAACACTAGAATCAATGGAATTCAATTTAAGTAACCATAACGTGAACTCTGCACCTATAAAGAAAACACAGAATGCAGAAGTTCCTGTAAGGAAAAACTATCAATTTGTTAATAATCAAAATACAATCGCGTGCGTTATGTGTAAAGGCCATCACAATTTATTTCACTGTCCCAAATTCCTCGAACTCAGCGTAAACGAGCGTATTGAGTACGTTAAAAGATGGAAAATATGCTTCAATTGTTTAAAAGGTGGTCATGATTCAAGAACCTGCCGCTCTATGACGTGCAAGATATGTTCAAACCGACACAATTCCTTACTACATCAATCAAGAGGTCCAAATTATAATAATCAGAGTCAGACTGCAAACCTTAGCATAAACAATTATCAATTAAATTCTAATGTTCAAGTAATTTTGTCAACAGCATTGGTTCAGTGTTCAGATTCAAATGGAAAGGTTTACACCTGTAGAGCGTTGCTTGATCAAGGATCGCAACAACATTTAATTACGGAAGAAATGTGTAAAAGATTACACTTAACTACAAAATCTGTGCATGCAGGCATAAGTTCGGTCTGTGGTAGTTACAATGAAATTAAACATGCTACTACGCTTCACTTTAAATCATTGCACGATAATTATACCGGAAAAATTGCATGTTTGGTAGTCCCCAATATAAATCGAAATTATCCCATAGATACGTTCGACAAATCCGAGATTCCGGTACCTCAAAATTTAAATTTAGCAGATCCTAATTACAACATTTCAAGTCCTATAGACATTTTAATTGGTGCAGCTTTGTTTTGGGAACTACTTCGAGACGGACGCATGAAACTGTCGAACGAACAGACTTTTCTTCATAACACATGTTTGGGGTGGATATTGGGTGGACCATTTACAGCGGCAGCAATCCAGATTAATAGTATATTTTGCGGTAATTTAAATACCTGTACATTAGAACATTTAGACAAACAAGTAACAAAATTTTGGGAGGTCGAAAATTATGACAACCGTATCGAAAACTTAAGTTCTGAAGATCAGTTGTGCGAAAATTTATTCGTAAAACAACACAGCAGAGATCCCAATGGGAAATTTATTGTGCGCTTACCATTTAGGGCAAATCCTCCCAATTTAGGTTCTACAAAGGAAATAGCCTACAAGCGATTTAGGTCTCTCGAAAAGAAATTTGAAAACAATTATGAATTTAGGAATCAATATTGCACTTTCATGGCCGATTACATTACACTTAATCATATGCAACTGGCAACAGATCAAAATATTCACGAAGGTTGTTTCCTGCCGCATCACGGTGTGATTAAGGATTCGAGCCTAACGACAAAAGTACGAGCCGTTTTTGATGCCAGCACAAAGTCGTCATCCGGATTTAGTCTCAATGATTATCTACTACCGGGACAAAATCTTCAAACCGATATATTTTCATTATTGGTGAGGTCCCGACAATACCAGTTTGTGCTATCTGCTGATATTGTAAAAATGTTTCGGCAAATTTGGGTGGCACCAGACGACTGGAAATATCAAAAAGTTTTATGGCGTTCAAATCTAGACGAACCCATACGGATATATTGCTTGAAAACAGTGTCATATGGCATGGCTTGTGCGCCTTATTTAGCCATGCGATGTTTGCGACAATTAGCAGTAGAAACCGCGGACTCTTATCCACACGCTAGCAGGGTCATTTTGGAAGACTTTTACATGGATGATCTTCTAACGGGTACAAATGACGAAACCGAAGCAATCACACTTCGCGATAATTTAATAAATATTTTAGGTAGTGGCGGTTTCGAAATCACAAAGTGGGCTTCCAATAATGACGCTCTTCTGCCACAGTGTCACAGTGACAACACTGCACTCGTGCGTTTAGATGAAAATATGCAAACAAAAACGTTAGGCCTAAGTTGGGATTGTGCGAATGATAATTTAAAATATGACTTCAAACTACAACATCCAATTAAAATTACTAAACGATCCGTTTTAAGCACAATAGCCACGGTGTATGACCCCATAGGCATCTTAGGTCCTGTCCTAGTGTCAGCAAAATTAATATTACAAAAATTATGGCAATTACAATCCGACTGGGATGACGAATTGCCACCTGAACTAAATAAACAATTTGAGCACTTTCTCGCTGAACTACAGCATGTAAATGAAATCCAAATTCCTCGGAAGGTAGTTGCAGATTATCCGTATCAAAAAATACAAATTCACGGGTTTAGCGACGCGAGTACAAAGGCCTACGGGGCGGCAGTTTATATAAGAACGACTGATATATCAAATTCGCATACTGTAAAACTTCTTTGTTCGAAGACACGAGTTGCTCCAATTAAACAAATTACCCTGCCTAGGTTAGAATTATGCGCCGCTACTTTACTTGCCAAATTAATGTCTAAAGTCAAAAATGCGATGAAAATTAATTTTGACGACTGTTACTTATGGAGCGATTCAACAATTGCATTATCTTGGATAGCGGCATCACCAAATCGTTGGCAAACATTTGTTGCTAACCGTGTGTCAGAAATTCAAACTCTTACTAATAATTGTAAATGGCGTCATGTAATCAGCAACGAAAATCCCGCAGATATAATTTCAAGAGGAATGGCCCCAAGCGAGCTAAAATCATGTGACTTATGGTGGCACGGTCCGTCTTTTTTAACTAAAGATTTAAACGAATGGCCAGTACCAAAAAGCGTTTTAAATAATAATTTACCTGAAGAGCGCAAAATTTCACTAGTTTCACATTGTACTTCAGACGAATCTTCGCTTTCTTCATTGTTTACGAGAGTTAGTACATATAAAAAACTAAAACGCATTGTAGCATACTGTTACAGATTTATTAATAAATTGCAGAAAAAACAGTGTAATTATTCAGGTGAATTATCGGTGGAAGAATTAGACGCAGCGCATATTAATACCATAAAGTTAGTTCAAAAAGATCAATTTTCATCCGAAATAAAAGAGCTGCAAAGCAACGGGTTCATAAACAACAATAGCCATTTGAAATCGCTAAATATATTTATGGATGACAACGGCATTTTGAGAGTGGGAGGGCGCTTGCAAAACGCAAAAATAAATTACGATATGAAACATCAAATCCTCCTTCCAAAAAATCATTATGTGACAAAAATTATCATACGTGACGCGCACACGGACACACTACACGCAGGAACGCAGGCAACTCTGGCGGCAGTAAGAAGGCAATTTTGGCCCGTATGTGGAAAAACAACTATCAAAAAGATAATACACAATTGCGTAAAATGTCGTCGAGTGAAACCCATTACCTATGAACAACTGATGGGTAATTTACCTTTTGATCGAGTCAATCCATCTAGACCATTTTCAAATTGTGGTGTAGATTACGCGGGTCCTATCATGATAAAAGAAGGACGTGGTCGCGGAAAAAGAAACATCAAGTGTTATGTCGTAGTTTTTATTTGCCTCGTCACAAAAGCTATTCATTTAGACTTAGTACTCGACTATACGTCAAAATCATTTCTTAATTGTCTGAAACGTATGATAGCTAGACGGGGTAAGATTTTACATATGTACTCGGATAACGGTACCAATTTTGTAGGCGCCAATCGAGAACTACAAGATTTAAAGAAATTGTTCGATAGTGACGAATTTCAAAGATCAGTAATTGATAATATCACAGAGCAGGGAATTAAATGGCAATTTATACCGCCAAATTCGCCACATATGGGTGGTATTTGGGAAGCAGGGGTCAAATCTTTTAAGCACCATTACAAACGAATAGCGGGAACCTCAAATTGAATCAATTCTGAATTCTCGCCCCTTAACACCTTTGAGCAATGACCCCAATGACTTGGAACCACTAACGCCGGGTCACTTCCTCATCGGATCTGCATTAACCGATCTACCTGAACCATGCCTACTTGCGATAAAAGAAAACCGATTGACGAGATGGCAGCGAGTCGAGCAGCTGCGTCAAACGTTGTGGAGAAGGTGGACTGCAGAATATCTGACCCAACTACAGCCACGGAACCGTTGGAGTCAACGAAACGCGAATTCCATAAGCAAAGGATCCATGGTGGTTTTACGTGACGAGAACACCCCGCCGCTGATGTGGAGACTAGGCCGTGTCGTAGAGCTGCACCCAGGAAAAGACAACGTAGTGAGAGTAGTGTCGCTGAAGACGAGCAGCGGTGTAGTGAAACGTGCGGTTAATCGGATTTGTGTGCTCCCAGTGGACGAAGTTGTTGATTAAAATAGAAAGACAGTGAAACGTAAATTACAGTGAATTCAAACAAATAGTGAAAATAAAAAAAAAAAATTGCGTTTACTGTTCGCATCAAAAAATTGTATAAAAATTACATTATGTTTCATTACAAACAATTGCCATTGCGTTATTCTCGCTGTATACTGTATATATCTTATTTTTCATTAATATAATGTTTGGAGTTGTATTTTATGCTCTTTGGTCATATTGGTGATGTCTTCATTGTGTGTTTGTAAAAATTGTGTTTTGTACCTTTTGTCATTTATGCTGTTTTTAATTATGTCCTTATAATTTAGTGTTATTTGTTTTAACTATGTGAATTTCTAATTTAAGGGCACATTTTAATATGATTTATAACTTTTGAATACTTCAACGGGGGGAGTATGTTCGAGCCACCTGCACGGCGGCTCTCTCACCCGACTGCAGCGAATTTCTTAATCACCCAATGTGAGGGTGCGGCACCCTTTTGTGGGGCCAAGTCTTTATAATTAGGTATAGTTTGTAAAAATAGGAGAGTAAGAATTTGGACTTGAGACTGTTAACATCGTACAAATATACATATTCAAGCGCCACCGTATTTTTATTGTATTTATTACAATTGGTCCTTCGAGTTATCGCAACAAAATTTATAAATTCCAAAGTTCCAAAATTCGAAATTTGAAAAAATGAAAATTTAGAAAATTTTAAAAATAGAAAAATTATAAAAACTAAAAATAGAAAATTTGAATTCCTAAAAAACAAAAATCTGAAACATCGAAAAATCAAAATCGAGAAACTGAAAAATCGAAAACTCAAAAAAACGAAAAATTAAAATCTCTAAAAATTCAAAAACCGGGAAATATCAAATTTTGTTTCTTTAATTGTCCAGTTTGTACAATTAAAGAAACAAAATTTGAAATTTTGGGAAATTCAAAATATTAAAAAAATAAAAATTCCCAGAATTTAAAGTTTAAAATTGCAATTTGGAAAAATAGTAAGTGCTGCAAAATTAGTAAATCAAAAAATAGTAAAACTGAAAGCTATCGGAGCTGAAAATTTTAAAAATAGCAAAATTGTCAAATTAAATACTCTGCAAACTGATAAATCGAAAATTTTTAAATTTAAAATTCCCAAATCCAGCAACTGCAAAATATGAAACTTGAAAACACGAAAAATAAATCTTTAAAAGTTCAAAAGTCGGAAAATTGCAAATTGAAAAATTCAGAAAACAAAAAATATTGAAAAATTCAAAAGTTTCAAAGTTCGAAATGTAAAAAATAATAATATCCCGGAAATTTCTGAATGTGTGACAGGTACAAGGACAACCCAATTATTTAACATCTACACACAGTTTCTGGCGTTAAATAACTTGGTTCAACACAACAGCATTCTCAATCGCAACAACAGAATATTAGATTTAGTTCTGACGACAGAAAGTTTAACAGTAACTGTAGACAAACAGGAGTTGACATTAGTTACAGAGGATAATCATCATCCTGCTCTAAATATACAACTGGAATTAGTGAACCTGGATAGTGTACCATTTGTACATGGGACTGATGACTTGAGGTTTAACTTTCACAGAGGTAATCTGGAAGGGCTCTACCTATCACTTGCTGGGACTGACTGGTTGCCAGTTTTAGATGCTGCTGATCCTACTCTGGCCTGTGAGAAATTCAATGAAATCATTTTTACCAACATCTCCCAATATGTACCAATTTCAAAGTCCTTTGGTCAGCGGGAAAATTACCCTGTTTGGTATACTAGATCTGTTATCAACAAAATCAAAACAAAGAATAGACATTGGGATATTTATAGAAAAACCAAGTCAGTATATCATCTTGATAAAGTGAAGAAGTTACGCTGTGAAATCAGAAAAGACATTAGGTACACATATTATGAGTTTATAAGAAAATCTGAAACTTCTCTACAAAGCCATCCGAAAAAATTTTGGTCGTTTGTTAATAAAAAAAAGAAAGCCACGAATGTTCCTGGTCTCATGACCTTTGAGAATCATACCTTGACATCTCAACAAGATATAGTCAACACATTTGCTAGTCACTTTAAAAGTATGTACAACTGCGATAACGAGAACCATGTCTGCGATGTAATATGCCGTGATAATTGTGAAAATATCTGTGATAACTGTTTTAAATATTGTTGTCCATCTTTTGATGTTAGAGTCGACTGTGTAAAAAATGTTATTTTAAATAGGTTCTCTATAAGTGACAACGACATTCTTAAGGCTGTAAAGGGTATAAAAGCGAATAATGTCTGTGGTGCTGATAACATACCGGCATTTTTGATTGTGGATTGCATAAGTTGTTTTCTATCTCCACTTTGTCATATATTTAATCGGATATTAATATCTTCACAGTATCCAACAGTATGGAAAACGTCAAATGTTGTGCCAATTTTTAAGTCGGGTGACAAGTCGAACATTAAGAACTATAGGCCCATATCTCTCATCCCAAATTTTGCTAAATTGTTTGAGTGCATATTAACAGATGCTATCTATGCCCATGTGAAATCTGATATTATAACTGAACAACATGGTTTTGTCAAGGGCCGCTCCACTACAACTAACTTATGCGAATTCACGCAGTTTGTCTCAAATGCTTTAGATAAAAGATCACAAGTTGATGCTATATATACCGACTTATCTAAAGCATTTGACAAAGTTAATCACTGTATTTTATTAAAAAAGTTGGAAAGTTTTGGTTTATGCGATAATTTAATATCTGTTCTTAAATCTTGGTTAACTGATAGGCAACAACGAGTTTTGTGTAAAGGATTTAGATCGTCGATATATAAAGTTAACAGTGGAGTTGGTCAAGGATCAAATTTAGGTCCTCTTCTTTTTATTATATTTTACAACGACGTCGTAAAAGACTTGGGATGTAGGGCATTTGTATACGCCGATGACTTAAAACTGGCAAAAGTTGTCAATAGGGCTGAGGACTGTTATGAGCTACAAACCAGTTTAGAAAAGTTACTGCATTGGTGTAATAGTAATAAGTTTGAAATTAACAAAAGTAAATGTAAAAAGATTACCTTCTTTCGTACACGTGAACCTATTTCCTATTATTACAATTTAGATGGTTATGTACTTGAGAATTGTCAACAGATATCTGATTTAGGTGTTGTTATGGACTTTAGTTTGTCATTTGCCCCACACATCCTGCATGTCACCAAGACTGCTATGCAACAGCTAGGATTTATTCGTCGTAACACCATGGATTTTGTTAACATACAATGTATCAAAATACTTTTTTACGCTTTAGTAAGGTCAAGAATGGAATATTGTTGCATTGTATGGAAGCCGTATTACCAAAAATATATTGACTTGTTAGAGAATGTCTTGCGCAAATTTGCAAAGTATTTATTTTTAAAAATGTATAATAGGTATCCAAGCAGACATTGTGATCAATCTAGCTTATTGTCTATTGTCAATGAACAATCTTTAATAAGAAGAAGAAATGCAGCTAGTTTAATTTTTCTACAAAAACTCACTTTAGGTCAGATATGTTGTCAGGAGCTTCTCCATGAAATCAAATTCAACATCCCAAGACAAATTAGCCGATGTCCAAAGTTATTTTATTTTGCTATACCCAATACTTTTCATCATTATAACTGTCCATTGATATATGCTTTTCGCTTATATAATTCTGTTTGTGATGGTCGTCTAGATATATTTTTTCATAATTTTAGTAAAGCTAATGTAAGGAAACAATTGTTGGAATTGAATCATGTGTAAGTGTACCAATGTTGTGAGCATTATGTGTTTATTGTAAATTTAATATTGTTTATGTGTTTATTGTAAATTTAATATTGTTCCTGTGGTTGTATCCACTATGGACTATATATTAGTCTGCTGGATAAATAAATATATTATTATTATTATTATTATAAAAAAACAAAAATTTAGAAAATTGTAAAGACGAAAAACAGAAAATTTGAAAATATAAAAACAGGTATAATGAAAAATTTCAAATTGAAAACCCAAAATTCGAAAATCTGAAACATCGAAAATTAAAATCGAGAAACTGAAAAATGGAAAAGTCTAAAAAACCAAAAATTAAAATATCTAAAAATTCAAAAACCGGAAAATTGCAAACTGAAAAATTGAAGAAACAAAATTTGAATTTTTGAAAAATTCAAATGTTCCAAAAACTTAAATATAAAAATTTAGAATTCGAAAAATTTAGACTAAAAATTGAAATTTCAAAAAATAGCAAAAACTTCAAAATTAGTAAATTAAAAAATTGTAAAACTGCAAAAAATGGCAAAATTGTCAAATCAAAAACTACAAGTTGAAAAATCGAAAATTTGGAAAATCCAAAATTTTAAAAATTAAAAATTCGAAGATCGAGCAACTGAAAAACCCGAAACTTGAAAGAGAAACGATAAATTTCTAAATATTCAAAAACCGGAAAATTTCAGAAACAAAAAATTGAAAAATTCAAAAGTTTCAAAGTTCGAAAAAATTGGAAAATTATAAAATGAAAAATAGAAAATTTGAAAAATACAAAAACTCGAAAACAGTAAAATTTAAAAATCGGGATAGTGAAAATTTTAAAATTGAAAACTCAAAAAACTTAAAATTTTAAATATTAAATATTTAAAGAATCGAGAAAAACGAAAAATTCAAATATCCATAAGTTCAAAAATCGGAAAATTCCAAATTGAAAAATTGAAGAAATAAAAAAATGAAAAACTGAAGAAACGAGAATCTGAAAAATCGAATCTATGAGGAAAAAAAATCCAAAAATTAGACGAAACGAAAAATTAAAACAAAAATTCAAAAGTTGAAAAATGCAAGTCACAAAAATCGAAAATTGAAAAATACGAAAATTGCAACATTTTAAAATAGAAAAATCGAAAAATTCTAAAATACAAAAATCGAGAAATCGAAAAACTGAATAAAAGAAAAATTGAAAAACCGCTAAATTGGGATTTTGGATTAGTGGATTTTTTGAGGTTCTTGGGTTTCTTAGACATTTTAGATT